AAAGAGAAGCGCTTCTTTGCGGTGAAAACCTCAGGGAGGTGCCCCGGGGAGGTCACTTAGGGTCTTAGGTGGCCGAGAAGAGGCGGGGCTTGTGCAAAGGCCCTGGGGCTGCAGGGAGGCTGGCCCCAGCGCGGAATAGGAGCGGGGGCAGTGAGGCTGGGCTCTAGGGGAGGTGTGGGGAGCAGGCAGAGATGAGGCGGTAGGCAGATAATTCCAGGCCTTGTAGACTGTCTGGAAGAGCTTGGGTTTGATGCTAGAAGCATAAAGGGAACCTCTGAAAGACTTGAAAAAGGGGAGAGGCATGATTGAACTTGAGTTTTGACCAAAGCGCTGGCTTTTACATGGCCAATGGAGCATAGTGAGTGAGAGGGAGTGTGGGGAGACTATTAGCTACTGCACTCGTCCTAGTAAAAAACAATAGTGGCTCAGATAAGGATGGTGAGCGGACAGAGAGATGCGGGCAGACCTCACGGGTATTTAGAAGGCACAATCAGCCACGGAGACAGTAGAACAGTGGCTCCGTGGGTATATACTGGTGCAGCCTGGCGGGTTTGAGCCCTGTTTCCACCTTATGCGTGAGGCCACGGGCGGGGCAGTGAACCTCACTTACCACGTGGAGATGACGGGAGGCTTGCTGTGAGGACGACATGCAGAACACTTGCAAAGCACTTGGCTCTGTGCTTGAAAAGCGCATAACTAATAGTAGCTGTTTTGTGTCAACTGTGACTAGAGGCTTTGAAAAGGAAAACAGACCTCGGTTGGTTATCCGGGAATTGGCGTGTGTATGTGGATAAACGTACTGGTCTGTTTCTGTCCCTGTCTTCCTTCCCTCTAAATCTGCGTCCCAACGGCCAAGTGCGTGAGCCTGGGAGGGGATGGGGTGGCTGAGCGCGCATCCCTGTGGAATGAGGGACTTCCGGGATGCTGACCCGCCCACACCCCATAAGGGCAGGGGTGGCTCTTACTTCTGGCGGTAGCTTCAGTATCTGGCACACAGTGCGGACCCGGCAAACATGGACTTGGCCTGAGCTGCCTGTAGGCGCCTGCAAGAACCAGCAGGTAGCTGTGGAGTACGGAGGGGGTGTGGAGTATCTGGTGCATCAGGGACCTGCGCCAGGCCGGGGAGTAGAGCTGACCTGTCCTCCTGACAGCAGAGACTCCAGAAATATGTCCAGACGCCCCTGTAAGAATGTTTATGGCAGTATTATTTATAAAATCAAATATTAGGAACAGTGTAGGTTTTCATCAACTCTCTCATGACTCTGTAAATAAGACCACATCTATAGGATGGACTATTTTTAGTTTCTTAAGAATCGCTTTTTTTTTTAGAGAGAGCATTTAGCTTACTCTGCATTATGAGCTTATATTTTTATCTTCTCTTTTATTTTCTCATGCTTTCCAAATTTCATATGAGCATGTATTGTTTCAGCAATCAGAAAAAGCTTAGAATTATTTTTAAAATTTGCTCTTTTTATCCAACGGAGTATTACAAGTTTTTGATGAAATTCTTTAAAATGATGCTTGGGAAGACATGCAATCACTTGGGCAAATACTTCACAGAGAAGGTTGAGTGAAAAAGCAGAGATTAAAATTGTGTTTTCTAGGATTCAAATTATGAAAAGAAACCACAAGTAAACAGAGAACAAAGGACATGGAAAGAAATACCTCCAAATGCCGTCTGCGGCTGTGTTATCAGGGCGCCGTTGGACCACGGTTTTGTTTGTTTGTTTGTTTGTTTTTCTCTTCTTTGATAACTCTCGGTGCTGTGGCTGTTTTATAATATTGAGTGCGAATGAGCCTCTGAGAAACCGATATAATCTCCCGTTTCCTAAAGGGGCCCTGTGGCTCAGAGCGATGGTGGGACCAGCTCACCCCGCCAGCGAATCGCAGAGCCGGTGCTCAGAACCAGGCTGGGCCAGGCTTTCTGTCCACAGGCTGCCTGCAGGTTGGCAGCTCCCGGTTAGAACGGAAACGAGGCAGCTGAGAGAAGCGGATGGCTCTGGCAGGGGCCAGGGCCTGTGGCGGTCCCCACACAGCTTGACTCAGTTAGTCCTGGGGGTTAGGAAGGGAGGGGGCTGGGTTTGGGGGCAGCCCTTTGTCAGCACTGTCGGGTGTGGGCGGAGGGCCCTGCCCCTGGAAACAAAATGGCAGGCTTGGAGCGCTTCCTTTGCTTATGTAAAGCCGTGAGCATTCATTAGCCTCTTTTTGTGTTGGTAAGGAGAGCTCCCCGCGGCCCTGTGCAGGAGGCACCTGCCGAGTGGATGCAGGGGATGAGGGAGGAGGCTGGTGGCAATGAAGAAGAGTTCAAGGCTGCAGGGGGCTCGGGGTCCGGCTGGGCTTCTGCGAAGGTGGAATCTACAGGACTTGTTCCCGGTTGGAGGAAGGGGGATTGTGGGAGGCTCCTCGGTGCCAGGCGTGGCTGACCGGGCCAGGGGCTTGCCATCCACTGACGTGGGAGGCTGGCGGGACGGGGGTAGATGGAGGTCTGACCGCCCTTGGCTGTAACGGGTCCAGAGCTCAGGATGGAGATCCGGGCTGGAGAACCGGGGCTGGAAGTCAGAGAATCCCAGTTCATCTTAGAGAGCATGGTGCTGGTACCCAGTGGTCGGCCCCCCCTCCGGTCTGTTGCTCACAGCAGAGGTAACCATGGGAACAGCAAAGATGCTCCATCTTTCATTTCAATACCTTCACGGAGGAGGAACAGCTTATGACTTCACATTTCAAAACTGACCTGGAGAGAGCAGCTCGTAGCAATTATGCTGCGAGGCAGCGAGAACGGGGCAGATGAATTGAGAGAGATCGCCCGCAAGAATTGCCTGGAAGTTTTGGCTTTTCTAAAAGCAAGAGGGCTCTTGCGGTCATCGCAAAGGGCCGTGGACGTGAAAGATTGTCCATCGGGCTTAAGAGAGAAGAGGGGAGCATGCAGGGGAGCCCCTCTTTCTTTCTCACGACTCCTGGGAGCTGGGGTTCTTCTGACGCTGGTATCGCTATGGCGGGTGCTGTGGAGGGTGCTGCTGGCGCATCCGGCTGTCCCTGGGCTGGTGTGAGACGGAAGTGAGCACTGCATTTGCAGGCTGCTGTGTGAAGCCGGTGAGAGGTATTCTGGGAAACTCCTGGGCTTTGGGGCCAGACTCACCTGGGCAACTCGGATTATGCCCCTGCCACCTCGTAGCTTCAAGATCTTGGGAAAGCGCCTTCACCATCCTGAGCTCCTGCGGCCTCATCAATAAACCAGGACACAGTCTCGCCATAGCGAAGACGGGAAGTCCTCGGCACACTCTGCGTCTTACTGAACGATCGTCTCATTTCCTTCCTGTTAGGTCCCTTTCCTCCTTCCTGAGGTCTTGGCTTCTAGCCTAACTAGCTGGATTTGGCCTGTTGGTTGAAACAGACCTGGGCCTCCCCTTCCTGGCTTTTCCCCTGGGAATGTGGCTGGGGAACCCTAGAGGAATTGTTCAGAGGCCAGGCAGCTCAGCGACAGGGTTCTCGGGTGGCCCTGGCTCTTGACAGTGGCTCTGGGGAGCAGGCTTATTTTGGGGAAGCCATTTTGCAACCCACCAGCTATCACGTAATCCTTGTATCTGTTACAGATGCTTTTACATCCACTTTTTAGCCTAACAACAGCCCTGTCAACTTGACACTCTTGGTCCTGTCCCGATTTTACAGATGAGGAGATGCGAAGGGACAGGCAAAGCCGGCCAGCCGGGGCCCGTCAGAACAGAGCGAGAATCCAGCTCTGCGGCTCCGTGCCCCTCTCTCCGCGCCCGGCCTCGGTGCCGCCCTGCCGTGTCCTGGCCGAGCTGTGGCCCGCCTGCCTTCTTTCCGTCCTTCCCGTTCCCGCCCCCCGCTTCTTCCTCGTCATTTATTAACATTGGCCCCGCGTGGGGCTGAATGCCTGTTGCTGGGAGACACAAAGATGCATAAGACCAAATCCTTGCTCTCAGAGAGCTCTCAAACGTGCGGATTAGATGAGAACGTTCTGGCCACCTTCTTGGCCATACTGTCCCTCTAGGGCCACCTTCTCTAGGATGCCTCCCGGGACCCCCTCAGCCAGGTTTGGTGCTTCCTCCGGGCTCTACAGCACATATGGGGCCTTGGTGGCTCCTGTGCTGTGACTGGCTGCTCCTGCGTCTGCAGCTCCCACCCCCTCCCCAGCCTCTGACCCTGAAGGGCACGGTCATATCTGGCCCATCCATTTGTCCCTGGTTCCCAGCAGAGAGCTGGCACAGAGTCGGTCTCGGGCACGGGACCCTATCCTTTGAGACGGCCTCAGTATCCATCCCGGACCACACATCCTGATGCAGGGGTCAGAAACTCTGAGTCTGGTGGCCTGGCCTGGGAAAGGCAGACTGGAGGGTGTCTGGGCCCGTGGAGAAATATCCCGGGGAGAAGCCTGAGTGGGAGGGACGCATTAGTGCAAAGGGACCAGAACCCACCTTTCCTGTCAGGACACGCGGAAAGGGGAGAACTGGAAGGCGGAGAGCTAGCACTTTGCTTCCACAGAACTGGGGTCTGTGGGCTAGTCTTAGAAACAAATGATGACAACAATCAGTCAAAGCAAAAATAAAACAAAACTCCAGCTGAAACGTTGGGCATTACAGGAAGATGGGTTTTCACTGTTTCA